AAATTCAGTGAGAACTTCAACAAAGAGATAAAAAACATAAAAACAGAAATGGAAATTATAAAAAGGAACCAGTCTGAAATGAAGAACACATTATCCGAGATGAGAAGTATATTAAATGGAATAAACAAAGGAATAAACAAAGTGAATAAAGAATCAAATGCCCTATCTAGAGGATGGAAAAGCCGAGGACATTCAATCAGAATGGCAAGAAAAAAGATGCCAAGACTATAAAAATAATTTAAGGAGGATATGGGACACTATTAAGGGTCCAAATATCCATCCGATCAGCATAACTGAAGAAAACGAGATGTTAAACAGCTGTTTGAAAAAATAATGATGGAAAACTTCCCTAACCTGGTGAAGGAAATGTACATAAAACCCTAGGAAGCTCAGAGAATTCCAAAACTCAGGGATCCAAAGAGGCAAACACCAAGACACATTATAATTAAAAGGCCAAAGGTTAAATACAAAGAAAGAATATTAAAAGCATCAAGGGAAAAACAAATAATTACGTATAAGGGAATGCCCATACAACTGGCAGCTGATTTCTCAAAAGAAACTATGCAGGAGAGAAGGGCTTGGCAAAAAATATTCGACAGGATGAAGACCCAGGATATACAACCAAGAATAATTTATCCAACAAAGTTATCATTTAGAGTTGAAAGACAGATAAAGAGCTTCCCAGACAAAAATAAGCTAAAGGAATTTATCAACACCAAGCCAGAATTACAGGAAATGTTGGAGGGACTTCTTTAAGAAGAAAAAACATGTATCAAAAACAGGAATAAAGAATGGTAACAACTACATTCCTATCAATAAGTACCTTAAATGGAAAAGAATTAAGTGCTCCAACCAAAAGATAGAGTGGCTGAAAGGATAAGAAAACAAGACCCCTACATATAAAAAGGAAAGGGATGGAAAAAGATATTGCTTCCACCCCCATCCCTCACTCCTCCTTGGGACCTCTGCTGCTTCAGAGAATGGGAAGTTAAAAACTGTGCTTCCCGAGAATGGGGTGAAGGGTTAAAGAAGTACAAATTAGTAGCTGATGGATGGTCACGGGGATGGGGAGCACGTTATAGGGAATGCAGTTAGCATTAATATGTTAGCTAGGAGGAGGGTCAGGAGAGGGAGGGAGCAATTGGGGGGATCATTTTACTAACTATATAGACGTCTAACCAATGTACTGTATACTTGAAACGAATTAAAATTAAAAAAAAATTTTTTTAACTTTAATTTTTCTTATTTTTAATTGGCCTAACAGATAATGGTTTGTTCAAAATAATACCAATGTATTTGGTTATGCATGCTTTTGTATATATATACTTGTGTATACATATATATAAGTGAAATAAATGACAGCAATGATACAAGTGACAGGATGGGAAAATTAGGATTATTTTGTTATTATGAGGTACTCACACTACTTGTGAAGTGGTATAGTTATTTGAAGGTGGCATTGGATTGGCTGTAAATGTATGTTGTAAACTCTAGGGCAAACACAAATAAAGTTTTTTTTTTTTTTAGTATAACCATGAAAGGAAAGAAAATGAAATCATATAAAAGTTCAATTAAAACCACAAAAAGCAGAAATAGAGTGGAAGACAAAAACAGAAACAAACAACAAGGGGACAAATAGAAAACAATAACGAATATCATTGATATTAATTGAACTATATTAATAATCATTTTGAATATCAATGGTCTAAACATACCAGCTGAAACACAGATTATCATAATGAATCAAAAACCAAAACAGCTATATGTTCTTTTTAACCCAATTTATTATTTTTTTTTGGAAACCCGCTTTAAATATAAGAACGCATATAGATTAAAAGTAACTAGATGGAGAAAAATCTACCATGCTAACATAAATCAAAAGAAAGCAAGAGTGGCTATATTAATTTCAGACAGAACAGGCTTCAAAGCAAGGAAAGTTATCAGAGATGAAGAAGGGCATTACATGATTAAGGAGTCAATTCTCCAAGAAGACATAACAATTCTTGATGTGTATGCACCTAATAACAGAGTGTCAAACTGTGTGAGGCAAAAACAGAATTGCAAAAAGAAATAGATGTGTCCACTCTCATTGTTGGGAACTTCAATACCTCTCTCTCGGAAATGGACATGTTAGTAGGGACATAGCTGAACTCAACCATACCATCAATGGACTGGATATCACTGACATCTATAGACTACTTCATCCAACAACAGCAGAATATACATTCTTCCCAAACTCAAAAGAAACATTCACCAAGATAGCCCACATTCTGGGCCATTAAACACACCTTAACAAATTTAAAAGAATAGAAATAAGACACTGTCAGCTCTCAGATCACAGTTGAATTAAACTAGAAATCAGTAACAGAAAAATAGCTGGAAAATCCATCGCCCCCCTACCCCAAAATGCGGAGATTAAAAAACACACTTCTAAATAACACATGGGTCAAAGTAGAAACCCCAAGAGAAAATTTTAAATATTTTGAACTAAATGAAAATGAAAACACACCTTGTCAAAATTTGTGGGATGCAATGAAAACTGTGCTTAGAGGGAAATTTGCACCATTGAATGCATATATTGAAAAGAAGAAAGATCTAAAATCAATAATCTAAGTTCTCACTTTAGGAAACTAGTAAAAGAAAGCAAATTAAATCCAAAGGAAGCAGAAAATAAGAAACAAGAATTAGAGCAGAAATCGGTGAAACTGAAAGCAGGAAATCAATAGAGAAAATTACTAAAACCAAAAGCTGATTCTTTGAAAAAAAATCAATAGAATCAACATGCCTCTAGCTGAGCTAAGAAAAAAAGGAGGGAGGACACAAATTACTAATATCAGAAATGAAAGAAGGGATATCGTGACCGATCCCATGGACATTAAAACATAAACACTATGAACAACTCCATGCCCACACATCTGATAACCACTTAGCATCCCAATGTGAAGTGTTTGCAGTTGGATTATTTCATCAATGATCAGAGTTCACCTAGGCTCTTTGACCCAGTGCAAGGAAAGTATCTGCCCAAAGACAACTTCCATGATCTCACTCTCAGCTGTCGGACATGTATTTCAGGTCATTTTAGAATAGGGATTTTTGTCCCTGCTTCCAGCCATCAAAGGTTCTGAAACATTGAGGTCCAGGCCCAGAGTGGGCAAATCCAGCCAGCAAAGACTGGATTGTGGTGGTGAGCAGACTCTCAGCAGTCAGACAGAAGAGCATTCTGAATCCTGGTCATTTGTTCACTGGACTCCTGGCCTCATGAGAAGAAACGGCCTAGGCGAGACGTGGAAGAACTGGTTATCGAGGCTGGGTGAGAAGTTACAATTTCTAACAGATGAATTAGCTCTTTTTTAATGGAGATGGCATCGTTGATGCAGGGGAGCTGCAAACCTCGTACGTGCTTTCTGGGAATAAACTATGCTTGTGAAGCAAAGATCCGCTTTTTGCATGTGACACTGGATGGAGGACTAGCCTGAGTGTGGACACAATGGTATTGCTGCCAGAGACCCCACAAGGATAAGCCATGGGCCAGGATGCAGGAAGAGTGAGAAATCTCTCTTGTGGAGACACCTCTGAGAAAGCTGAGTTGGAATGGGATCCTTCAAGGCCATGGGACCCTTGTGGAAAAGACGGGTGAGATGAGTACAAAGAGGGCCTTCAAGGATCCTTTAATAAACTGAACTGATGAATTGGTGGTGCCATGGAAACCTAAACGCATCACTTGTCACTAATGGAAACGTTTGGAAATGGTGTTTGACCACTGGATGACAGCCAGTGAACAGTGAAGCAGGTTCTCAAGGTAAAAACCTACATTCTGTCTGTAGATGAGAAGGTGTTAAGGCATAAACCTTCTGGGAAACCCCTATAGAGCCAGACAATCACTTGAAAGGGACCTAGAATCATAACACATTCATGTCTGCCCACCAAATCAGTCATGGGGATCCCACAGAAATCTAGAATGAGACCCAAAACTCCAGGCTCTAGGACTCTTCGGACGCCAAAGAACCTGAATATCTCTCATGACTGTGAGACACTGTCAGCTCTTGAACACAGCAGCTGGACATCCTAGAAGCTCCGTGGCATGTGGTACGCCCCAGCCCCGTGCATCAGCATCCCTTCAGCAAACTTCTGAGGCAAGGGCCCCGGGGCCACCCAGAGGCCACCCAGCAGGAGATCCTATGGACAGTCCACCAGGAACTTTTCAACATCCAACTAGAAATGTGGCCCCACATACATGTTTTTCTTTTTTCAGTTATAGTTGACATTCAATATTATATTAATTTCAGGTGTACCCACCCATGTGTTTTCAATCAAGAAAACCCAGAAGCATATGGGGAAAAGTGACAAAATTCAAGTGTCTGAACTTCTGAAACAACTGTTCAGCACAAAACATCTTGTCACAAGATAGGCAGAAGAAACCATTGGTCATGAGGTGTTTTCCACCCAAATTAGCCTCTTTCAACTGGCCTTTCTTATTGTATTACTATCCCTTCTCTTCCCCTCACTCTTAGATTCAACATCTCTTTAGCTTATGTATTAATATCATTCCAGGCAGACTACCAACCCAGGGTCAACCAAGGCAGGGTTTCTATCCATTACTCCAGATGTAATGGCAGGTCAAGACCTTCTGGAAACTGGCAAGAAAATGGATGTAAGACCCACGAGAGAATCCAGTATTAGTGCATGGGTCATTCTAGCAGAACTTAAGTGTCTTTAAAATTAGCTCGTCATACACACATGCGTACTTGCAATTTTGTGTATTTTACTGAGGAGTCACAAGTTACTGTCCTGCACTTTTTATTAGAACAGAAGAGTGTTCCATGACAGTTTAAGTGGCATCTCTAAATGGCAGGACAGATCTGTAACGGCAATACTGAATATTTTTGTGGGTACGGTGACAGTGAGGAAGAAAAAACTCCAAGGGGTGGGAGTGAGAGAGAACAAAACCCAAGACTTCAAACACTGGAGACGTGACACCGGAGAGAAGAAATGTGGGAAGCTTCTTTTAAGTACAGTATGTTTTATTTTGACAGGTCAGTCAAGAAGTGCTATTCAAAGTTGGCAAGTCCCACCTCTATTCTGACACCATCTGGTATAGTGTGACACGATTCTGGGGCTAACCACCTGGAGTCAGATTTAGGCTCCACAGGCTTAAGGACACAGTCACAACAAGACTACCTTCACTTTAGACACCAGTCACACTTCAGTGGTCCCCAGGCCACCCGCATTTCTGACTGGCTACAAATCCAGGATGTTCCCATGATGTCTTAGTCTGGGCTGCTATAACAAATACACTATAAACTGGGTAGCCTAGACAACAAACATTTGTTCCCCACAGTTCTGAAGGCTGGAAGTCCAAGATCCAGACGCTGGAAGATTTAGTGTCTGGTGAGGAACTGCTTCCTGGTTCATAGATGGCTGTCTTCTTGCTGTGTCCTCACATGGCAGAAGGGGCGAGGGAGCTCTGTGTGGTCTTTTGAGAGGGCACTAATCCCATTCATGAGGGCTCCAGCCTCGTGACCTTCAATACCATCACATTGCGGGGTTAGGTTTCGACGTGAATTTTGGGGCTACACAAACTTCTAGCCGATAGCACATGACCTCCTTCAAGTTCAATAATTCACTAAGACTCACAGAGCTCAGAAAAGCGCTATATACATGATTACAATTTTCTTGTAATGGATACAAATCAAGACCAGACACACAGAATGACATCTAAGAGGGACCCAAATGCAGAGCTTCTCTGCCCCCTCCCCATGGAATCAGGCTGCATCACCCTCCCGGCACATCACTGTGTTCAGTGGAGCTTGTGTCCAGAGTTTTTATGGGGTCTCATTATAAAGGCATAACTGAATGGCCACATGATTCAACTCAATCTCCAGCCCCTCTCCCCTTATGGAGATCAGGCTGCCTCTAAGTCCCAACCCTCTGATCTCATGGTTGGCCTTTCTGATGACCAACCCTCATCCTGGGTCATCTCAGCTCCTAGCGTAAACTTAGATGTGATCCAAGGAATAACAAAGACACTTTTACTGGAGAAGTTCCAAAGATTTAGCATCTCCCCGCAGGGAACCAGAAACGAAGGCCAGTCCAATTCTTTATTAGAGTAGTTCCACCGCCCCCACCCCCTGGCCCCCATCAACGGTTTCACTTTCTGCAGTTTCAGTTACCCATGGTCAACTGTGGTCCAAAAATATTAAATGAAAAATTCCAGAAAGAAACAATTTGTAAGTTTTAAATTGCACGTGGTTCTGAGTAACACGATGAAATCTTGTACCGACTGCCCTGCTCCGTCCCACCCTGGGAGGTGAATCATCCCTTTGTCCAGCGTGTCCACGCTGTACATGCCACCCGCCTGCTCATCACATAGTAGCCTTCCTGGCTATCAGATCGGTTATGAGACATTTTGAGAGAAAGAACACATTCACAGAACTTTTAATACAGTATACTGTTACAACTTCTATTTTATTAATTGTTATTATTGTTAATCTCCTACTGTGCCTAGCTTTATAAATTAAACTTTATCATAAGTATGTATATATAGGAAAAAATATTCTATCTACAGGATTTCTTACTATCTTTGGTTTTAGGTCTTCGACCACATCCCCCTGCAGATAAGGGTGATGACCTTATATAACCTCAGACCCACACCTCCCAGAACTCCTACTCCTCTGCAAAGAAGGATAAACTCTACTAACACCGCCCATCACTGGCCTGGGCTATGTTTTGTTTCATTTTTAAAACTTTTTATTATGAAAATTATCAAAAAAGAAAATAGAAAAATATTGTAATGAACTCTTATATCACATCGCTGCTAATTATCTGCATGTGGCTCACTCTTTCACTCACACCCCCACCCCTTCTCCCTATATCCAGCCACAGATCATCCTGAAGCAAAGCCCAGAAGGGCATCCTATCAGCCTGAGTAGTCTTTATCAAGAATCCTCACCCATGGCCAGCCTCAAATGGGCTATAGGCCTGTTGAAATCTCAACCCCTAGGGGGCAGCTGGGTGAGGTCTGGGCAACCAGAGGCCCCTAGGCACTTCATTCCCTGACAGGTAAGTATGTCTACACACCCTGCAATGCAAGAAAGAATACCAAACGCTGCTTTACTACATTCCAAGTTTCTAAGGCATGTTGGCCAGCTTTGGCCCTTATAGTTCTCTTACCTTTCAAAAGATCCACATCTACAGCCTTGATTATCTCCTAAAGAATCAACTCTAAAAAAGAACAAATGAACTCAAGATATAAATGCTTAAATACTTCTAATCAATTAAAATCAATAGGGAGGTATAAAAATAAGGTAAATGATAATATATCAGTATTATTTATACGTTACGGATCCATTTCACAGTCATTAAAAAAGGGGAAACCAACCAGTCTTAAATAATAAAAAAACTTGACCCTGATCTTGGTTTATCATGCCGGGGTGACTGAGACAGTCCTTGATTCCTGGGATAGTATTTTTATGTTTGTGTTTCTGGGACTTTCTGACACTTCCCCAGGGTACCAGGGGGCATGTAGGAGGCATCTAGGAGGCACCTCCTCCACGGTGGGATGGCAAGAGCAGTAAGCGGTCATCTTACCTCCCCATTTGACTTACTCTGCCAAGCAAAAAGTCAGATGGATGAAGTTTCCTCCAACTCTAGGACACTAGGCCTTGCAAGGCAAGGGAACTTAAGGTTCACGACAGCACGGGCATGCTCCTCAATTTACATCTCCAAAGCACCATGCACAGAGCTCAGGTTACCTACTTGTCTCTTATACAGAGGGACTCAGGGCCTCCCTATCCTGAGCTGTATGATCCCCAGGGAAGAGCCCTCTCTGTTGCCCTCATTTCTGCAGAAGAGAGCCACTGTAGGACCCATGGGTTCATCTTCGACATTCTCCTCTAAGCCCAGCTGTTTCTCAAGCACGACTTGGCTTCAGACAAGGCTTTTGTTTCAGAAGGTCAGTGAAGATGCTTTCGGCCATCTCCAACAGCAGAAAAGAATCACCAAAGAATGTTTCTTTCCAGTAGCAAAGGAAGAAAACGTTTTAGAACATTTCAACTACTGCAGGGAGGTCTTCCCTACAAAGATGATCTGTCTCTCAAGAAAGGGAAAGTCCTTATTGGGAGATGACACAGATCAACACTTCCGTCAGGAATACCAAGTGCTCTGGGCCTGACACTCTGAATTCCAGAGTGTCCTGGAATTCTAGCACAAGGCCAGAGATGAGTTAAATTCTCAAATATCCATATGAAAAGGTCTGGGGTCCCCAATGGTGACCTCTTTTTCATACCACATGGAGCCTGGCCTGAGCTCCTGTCTTGGGCAAGTCCAGAGCAGGACTCATTTCACTGCAAGAGGTGAAACTTCTTCCACTTTTAGAAATTTCTTCTACTCTTCCACTTACGTCCTGATAATATCAGGATATAAGAAGCTCGGTAAATTCCAACAATCCATTCACTCCCGCCCCTTAGTGGACTGAGGTTATTTTCACTGCACAGAAACACCGCAGGAAAAATATCCTACCATGCTAGAGCCCTTAGCTTGTTCCCTCGCTGGTCCTGAAGGTCTTACTGACCCCTAGACTTGTCAATCCCCACATCTGGAATTGGCTCAAATGAGAAACACAGCAGAAGGGGCTAGGGCCAATGACACACCTCCATCTCATCTGAGGGCCAGCACTCGGTCTGCAGCCTATGGCTGGGATGAACAGCAGTGTTGCTGTTTCCCATGGGATCGGCTAACGGCCCTTTTGGCGGTAGGTAGTCACCTCAGAGAGTGACCTAGTATGGTCTCTGGGGCAGCTACACACAGCCTGTCACATGATGGCAAGCTTCAAATATGGAGCTTAGCTATCTGCTCAACTATGCTGGCCACAGTGGTATCTACACCAGCCAGTCCAGTATCCCATAATCCTGGGGAGGGGCAGCTATCACTGAGGAGAGTTACCAATAAGACAAGACACTGTAACAAGAGCGAAACCATCACACTTCTGTCAACCCAAGTCAGGGTCCCTCCTGCCCAGTGGAGTTCCTTGCCCCAAAGCCTAGGCTATAGGAACAAGGCCTCTGGCAAAGCTCCACGGCTGGAGCCAAAGCATCTCTGAGATGTCTTTCCTAATTCTTGAGAGTAGGAGGCTTCTGTCCATATGAGACCTGGGTCACCTTGACTTTGAAACATAAATTCAACACATGCTGATTCAGATCACAGGTTGAAATCTTAAAAAAGTTTCCTGTTGTAGTAAACATCTCGATCAGGTAACAAGGTGTGCGGGACAGGAAGTGAGGCAGGGTCGTTTTCCAGTGGAGGAAGAGAACATACTTCTTTGGGAAACTGGTCTGGGTGGAGACCTGCTGTGAGTGATTTCTCTCCCACGAAGAAAATCACCAGGAATCTGCGCATTCACCCTAACCCCTCTACGTAGGTATGGGGGCGGGGAGGGGTGAGTAATTCAATAACTTGGAATTTTAAAAATATTTATAGAGTTGAAAGCCCTACAGAGTAATCAAAACACCAAGATCTGAAGATTATTCCAGAGAGCGAAGGGGTATACACCAAGTGGGGGGCTAGAGATGTTCTCCAAGAGGAAAGGGGCACTAATGACTTTGCTCCCTCAGCCCTGTCCAGCCACCTAGCAGCTTGGAGATCTACCAGGACTAGGGGTGGGTTATCCTGCCTGGATGGGCAACGGGCAGTAGAAACACTTCCCTGCCCACATCATAATCACCCCCCACCCCTTTCCCTGGCCAAATCCCTCCCTTATCCCATCTCCCCACCCTCTCACCTTCCACCAACTCTCCTTCTATCCTGTCACCCGCTGAAGATGCTCAGGGAAGGTCTCTGAGAGAGTGCCCCTGCAGCATTTTCACTAGTCTTGGGCACTCCACAGGCAGTCAGCCAGAGTGCCCATGGCCTGCCTACTTGGCAGAGCCGATAGATAGCGTGGCACCTGCAGAGAACACCCAGAAGGCTGGGTACAGAGCTTCGGTGAAGTTCTCTTTGAACTTATACATCAGGTGGACCTTGTCAGTGGTGACAGCAAAGAAAATGACGAAGCCGTGGTCGCAGTTGAGAAGCACGCCAACTCGTGTGGCTTTGGTGGAAGGCAGGGTTTTCTCCACATTGTTGTGCCAGGCAGAGATCTTGGTGTTGAACCACTCCACGCACCAGGAGGCGCTGTTGCGGCCGAGCCGGCTCTCGGGGCCGTTCCGTTCCATGCTGCCATAGCAGATGCCCATCCCACAGAAGTTGTTCTTCTGCAGCTCCACCTCCCAGTAGTGGATCCCTTTCTTGTAGCAGTGCAGACCTAGCACCTGAGAACAGTAGGTGAACCTCTGGGGATGTGGCCTGTAGTTCTGCTGTGTGTCAGCCACGGAGGCTACAGTGTAGTTCTCTGACAGAGCCACCTTGTTGTTGGCGGTGTTGTAGTCCAGGATGACTTTAACAGCATCTATAAAAGCATCACCCCAAAAAATCGATTACAAGGAGCCCAAGGTGCTCTCAATTTTCAACCTTTTCTCAACAGCTTGTATTATTCATTTGTTGTACCTATCCATCCCTCCATCCAACCACCTATCCATCCACTCATTTACTCACGTATCCATCCATCTATTTATCATCCATGTAGCCCCCCATCCATCCATCCATCCGTCTGTCTACTAGTCCATCCTCCCATCTGTCCATCCAACTGTCCACCAGTCCATCCTTCCATCCATAAATCCACCCATCTATTCCTCCACTCATAACTGAGACCTGAGAATGCAAAATCCCAGAGAGCAGGAGAGGTGGGATCCAGAGTCTGGCTGAGGAACTGGCCTTGGGGAAAGGGACAGGGAAGGAAGGAGAGAGGATATAGATTCAAGTGAGATGCCAATAACTGAGAGAACGAAGGGATCCCTTTCTAGAGCGTCCCTCTGTGAAGCAGGGGGCTGGATGGGACGGGGAGAAGACTGAAGTCACAGCAAGTGAGGAGGTTTTGGAATGGCAGGGGAGTTGACAGGAAAACCAGAGTGGAAGTGCTGGCAGTTCAACCAGTAATGTCTCAGGGACAGCCACTGGCTGCAGGTGCTACTCACACTCCAGGAGCTCAGGCCTGGACTTGGCTAAAAAGGTCTCCAGCACCTTGGCCTTGAGAGATTCCGAGTTTGGCTGCAAGGTAGCGGCTTTGGCTAAAATTGGGGAAGGAAACAAAAAGCCATTTTCAGAACAAGCTCAGAATGGACACCCCCATGGCCCCCTGTCCACAATAACTCACATTCCAAGCTAACTTGTTTTAAATCCACTAGCTGTTCCGGGGCTCCGAAGGTGAGAGTCTTGCTGGGTGACATGATAGTAGAAGCTGCGAATGAAGGAGGAGAAACATGAGTTGGGGACATGACACAGAGTGACCTGATGGCCTCTACTCCCTTCCAAGAGCCCCATCTAAAAAGAGACACCTAGACAGCTAGGGTAACACAGGTGAGTCCAGACAGGGCTACGCTCGTCTTGCTCATCTTATTCATTTATACTTGTCCTCACCTCCGGTCTCAGGCCTGCCTGCCAGTACAGATCATAATCCTAGAGCTGAAGTCCCATCATAGAACCCTGATAATACAGGTCAGCTTTCACTGTAGCCCTTGGGCTGTCTCAAGAAACAAACAGAGCAGAAATGCATAACTTACGAAGTTTCTTGGCTTTCTTTTCTTCTTCTGAAAAAGAAAATTTTCAGTATTAAGATATTTTAAAGCATAACACAATGTCACTTTCAAAAGATCATAACAACATTCATTTGCACGAATACGACCATAGAAACAAAGCTAAAATGTTTTAACATGAAAAAAATAAGGGGTTAACAGGCAAATAATTCTATGGTGACAGACACCCACATCAGTGGTTGGGGAGGGAGAAGGACTGACTAATTAAGCGGCACGATAGAATTTTCTGGAGTAATGAAAATTCTTTATCTTGATTTGGGTAATGGCAACAAACATGTATGCATCTGTCAAGATTTATCTAACTGCACATTTAGACATGTGCATTTTACTGCAGGTTAATCAGACCTCCATAAAAGAAAAAATGCAAAAATAGAAATGGAGTCAGCAAAAAAATGTGTTACCCAAGTTTTGCAATAGTTTTTAAGAACTATCTGGAACTGTGTCCATGGGAACTGAGTTAGCTAAAACAGTGGTTCTCAAAGTGTGGTCCCCAAACCAGTAGCATCAGCATCACCTGGGAACCCATAGGAAATGCGAATTCTCAGGCCCCACCCTAGACCACCATCAGCTTCACATGGACCCCTAGCTACCTATTCCTCCCACTTCGTGTTCCATTTCTCAGGAGTTGTCTTCACTCTCTACCCCATTTCCTCACCTTCTACTCCGCTCTCGCTCTCGCCCACTCCCACTGGGCCAGCACCTTGAGAGGACCCCAGGCTGCAATGCTGGTTTAGGTCACAGGACCCCTCCCCGGTCACCACAATTCTTAGGAGCCTCATCTACGCTGTGACTAGCCCACCCCTCCTTGCCTGTTTTCCCGTCTCAGCCTAATGACCAGCTTCCACAGCTCGCTCATGCTAAGAGTGGAGCTTGTGATCTGGGGCAGTGAAAAGAGAATGACTCGAGAGGACACAGGCTTATAGTACTTTCACCTACTTTTTCACTTCCCTTTTCACACAAAGTGCCCTTCCACATTTTCCGGCTTAGCCGAGGGCTCCTTCCTCTACCTGCACCGGGTACCCAGCCCAACTCTACTCCGTTCAGGGACTGATACCAAACCTTTGTCTGCCACAGACAACCTAAACACTAAAACGAACAACCAACCAACAAACCTAGAGTCCTCTCATCCCCCAGCCCGCGATGGTGTGGGCACCACTCCACAGTTCATACTGACTTCAGGGAAGCAACGGAGCCAACAGTTCAGCGGCATATTTACGACCTCTAAAGAGCTTTCCCAGTCAGTGGCCCAGATGAACCACACTGATAATCCTGTGAGGTCGATATCATCAGGGTCCACATTTGATAGATGAGAAACTGAGGACTATTCTTCTCCCTAGCCTCCATCTCAATGGTACCTGCCTTCTCAACGAGGGTGATAGCACCCCTAAAGGGGTGCTATCTGATTCTTAGAGGAGGGGAGAAAAAAGATCTTATTCTTTTTATGTATAAAAGCACAGTATATAAACATGTTACCACATATGTGTGGTGTTGAAATTTCATGGGCAGGGGTGATTAGGAAAAATATTTCTTAAACGGCTGGGGCAAGGAGAGAGGAGGGCAATAATGGAAAGAAGGGTGGGAAGTGCTGTGATGGCAGAGGCACATGGCACCTCAAGACTGAACAGCTCTAAACTACCAGCCAGGTTTAGCCTCTGCTGCTCCGGGACCTCTGTTAGTCTCCTCCAGGTGGACTCCGCCCAAGTGGCAGAACTTGGGTGTCGTAAATATTTCCCAAGACAAGCTAGCTTTGGTAATCTTGCTGTTCCAGGCAGCTCAAATATCTAATGCATCAGGCACTCCTCCCAGGTGCCGTGGTGGTGCAGCCCCTACGACTTCCGCTCAGTGGGGTCATAGCCCCACTTGACTCCAGGTGCACTTGGGCCCTGAACTGACTCGGGATGGGCTGTGCCTGCCTGGAAGGAGCAGCCACACCTGTGAGTGTCTCAGCCAGTGCCCTGGCCAGCCACAGCCATATTGCTGCCGCAGGGACAGCGTGGTGACTTACTCACGATCTTCTTTACAGGGCGTGAAGGTTTGTGCGTGGGCGCTGCACCATGCTCTGTAGGGTCCCCTGTGCCAAAAAAGAAGGGGTCAGTTTATGTGGCTCCTCCAAACCAATGCCAGGAGCCAGCTTTGCCACAGTTGTGTGGGTAGTGGGTTTTCAAAACAGACACTTCCACGGACCTTCCCTATCCCATCATTTACAAGAACCAGAAACCAGGTAATAGAAGGACCATTTTGGGGTGTTCTCTCTTTTCTCTGGCTTAAAATGTAGCTAAGGTCAAATCTTTTCTCCACCAGCACTCAGCTCCATGACCTCTAAACCTTCTCTAGCTTCAGTTTCTTCCAGCACACAACAGGGGTGAGGCCCTTGCTTGCAGTGATGAGATCAAGATGCCTGGGGTATAGTGGTAGTTTCTTCCCTCTGCGTTTTCTCTCACGACCCTCCCCCAAGGCCAGGGATCACTTAGGTAGCAGGAAAACAACTCTGCATGGCTAATTTGTCAACAGCTTTTCCCTCCACGATGGGGCTGATCCACACCTGTTTCATTGGCCCTTCTGCAAGGACTCTCAGCTTGCCTAACGGAAACTCAAGCCCAGCCCCTGGATCACACAGCAAGGATTCACTATGATCCAGGCTCTGTGCGAGGCACTGCGGGGAGAGTGGTGGATGAAAACCAGACCCAGCCCTGCCCTCACAGAGATCACAGTCTTGTTGGGGAGACAACCGGGAACACTAAGGAAGAGTAAAATGACAGATGTGCAAAGGGCCACAAGGGATGATAGGGACCCTGAGATCTAGTCTGAGGAACAGGAGTGGTGACGGGAGGTCTGCTGAGAAATGTAATGTTTCGACTGATCCTCAAAGGATGAGAGGAGTTAACTGGTGAAGACGGTGGAGAGTTAGCCTTCCAGGCAACAGGAAGAGCATGTACAAAGGCCCAGTGGCAGGAAGCTCAGCATATTTGAAGAACTGAGCACAGAGATGCACCAGAGGAGGGGACACTTTGGGGCTGGAGGGACAGACAGGGCCTGACCAGGCAGGGATTGTAGGCCAGGGTCGAGAGTCTGTAATCTAAAAGCAATGGTGGGGGTGAAGAGAAAAAGGTTCCAGGAGAAAGATTTGCATCCTGAAAAGCTCTTTCTGACTGCAGCAGGAGTGAATGCAGAGGGACTATTTAGGAAGCTGCCACAGCTGATGGCAACAGATATCAGGCGGGTGATAGCCAGTAGTGGGACAGGTGGACTGAGTCAGGAGATATTTAAGAATCAAAATCTGGTGACGGATTGGATATAAAGAGAAGGCAAAAGAGGAATCAAAGAGAAATTCCAGATTTCTCTTACCCTAAAACTAGCCATTCTTCCACCAAATACAATGACAAACCAGAGTTCATTCAAACCCCATCTGAGTCAGACTCAAGACGGCAGACAAAAAGGGCCTGTCCAGAAACTCCCATCATAACATCAAGCCCTCCAAAATGTTTTAGGAAGAACGGCTACCATCGCAGGATGAAACAAAAACTCCCAGTTCCCCACAGGACCCCTGAAACTCAAGCCCCAGTGCTCTATGTCAAAGCCCTCTCTTGCACCCCAGAGCACTGAGGGTACTCATCCTAATTCAGGAGTCCCGGTGGGGGAGCCTGAGGGGTTGCTGATGGTTACCTGAGACGGTGGGCTCCTCGGGCTTCTGGGGCTGCCTGATGTAGCGCTTCAGCTCATTTTTGAGGTCTGTGGTGTTCTGGCAGATACCTCTTATCAGCTCGTGATTCAGCTCCACCTTGGGGACGTAGACTGGCTTTGTTGAGATTCCTTGCAATTTTGCCGCTTTCTGGAACAAGCCAAGTGGTTAGTGCAGGCAGCTTCACAAAGCCAGGGTCTGGCCTCAGGCCCCAGGAATCCCAGGAGGGGCCTCCCTGTGCCTGTGGGTGTGAAGTTCGATCAGCGTTCTCAAACGATAGGCCAGAGATCACTGGGGGTTAAAGTGCCACTTTAAGACAAACTTCTGGAGCTAGAAGGGTCCCTAGAGATTGTTCACCTGACAGATGGGGAAACTGAAATCTAGAAACGACAAGCGTCCTGCCAGGAACTCTGCCAATTAGTGGCAGAGACAGTGTTGGGACCCGGATCTCCTGACCCCTATGGACAATGCTCTTTGCACGCCTCTAGCTGTGGCTGAAGAAGTGTAGGAGATGCAGGACCAGCTCCATCCCTCGAGAACCAGCTCTGAACACATGTTCTGAGTATAGACAGAGAAGTCTCAAGGGTGCAAGATTCAGCCACGGCACACCCAACGAAAAGGAAGAGTCTTACATAAGTTCACAAACTTTGAAATACAATCACGTCACATAGTATCAAGAGGCTCAGATGTGGACTCAAAATCCTTCTCAGAGAGCTTGAGGCCTCTACTCCAACAAACAGGAACGAGCACGTAAGATGCAACTTAATGCCATCCAGCCCAGGATGGGGAGAAGTCCATGCAAGGAGAGAATGTTCCCGGTCACTCCTGTACCCTCCCCAGGACGTGAACAAGGACTCTGGGCCTTTGAGGGGTCGTAGCATGTTACCCAATCAATGGGGCTCACCAGAACACCCGCTGCATGACAGGCACTCTGCTGGGCACTGGACATATCAGGAGGAAGAAGGGTGATAATAAGAGATGGGCCATGCCCAAAAGGAGCTGGCAGCCTAGACATGAAAACAAGCACATCTAAAACAACTTCCTCGAGTGTGATAGCAGAGGCAGTGTAACATGCTCTGGACCATTGGTAATAAAAGCAGGATAACGAAATCCAGGGAAGACGGTCAGGGGAGCGGGGGGCTAACGACTGGAGTTACCCTGGAACAAGGAAAGGATTCAGTAGGCAGAGGTCAGCCATGGCATTCCCATCCAATGCCTGGTGCGTCTGGGGAATGGTGAGTGCTCTGCTATGGTCAGAGCACGGAGCATGGGCTGGGGGTGGGTGGCAAGAGATGAGGCTGTTGGCAAAGGCAGGGCCCAGTCATCAAGGGCCCTGCCTTGTGGGCCATACTAAAGAACACAAAGTCAGAAAGGGTGGAGAGGGGAATCTGTATTTCAGAAAGACACTTCCAGGGGTAGAGTGGAGGAGGGTGGGGGGAAGAGGGTGGAGGTGTATGTAGTAGGCAACATACTTATTCTAAGATGGCCCCCAAGATTCCCACCCCCCAGGGTACACATCCTATATAATCTCCTCCCCTCGAGAATAAGCAGGACAGTGGATGTGACAGGATGTCACCCCAGTAGTTAGGTTATATTATGTGGCAAAACTGAAGAAATTTTGCAGACGTAATTAAGATTCCAAATCTGTTGATTTTGAGCTCATCAAAAAGATGAGTCTCCTAAGTGGGCCAGACTTTATCAGGTAAAATCCCTTAAAAGAAGGACTGGGCCTTCTTAGAAAGAGAATTTCCCCTGCTGGCTTTGAAGAAATAAGCTGCCCAGTCGAGAGAGGGCCATGTGGCAAGGGACTGCGGCAGCCTCTGGGAACTGAGAAGTCAGCCAGCAAGAAAGCGGGACCTTAGTCCTACATCACAAGGAATTAATCTTTGCCAAAAACCATGTGAACGTGGAAGAACCCTGAGCCCCAAAAGGAATGCAGCCCTACCAACACTCAGATTGCAGCCTGTGAAGTCCTATGAAGACAACCCCCTAAGCCATACCCCAACTCCACAGAAAGTGCATGAGAGTAAATGTATGTTCTAAGCCGCTACATTTGAGGTAAGTTGTTACGCACTTAGAACATACAGAAAGTGCATGAGATACAGAAAGTGCATGAGAGTAAATGTATGTTCTAAGCCACTACATTTGAGGTAAGTTGTTACGCAACATAGAACACCAACACAGCGTGTCTCAGGGATGCTTCCAATGACCTCTCATAGCTTTGCCTCCTTGAGGCCCCACTGCCCCTGTAATCAACATCACAATGCTAGGCAGGAAGAGTGTTCAACAATGTGCTCATCAAGGGTTGTGGGGGAAAGGGTCAAATATGTGGTGACAAAAAGAAATGTAACTATGGGAGGTGAACACACAATGTAAATATATATGCCTTACTGTTAAAATGTACAGCTGAAACTTATCAGATTTCATTAACCAATGTCACCATAAAAACAAACAAACGAACAAACGAACAAATAAATAAAACAATATGTTCGTTAAGACTCACCTCCAGAAACTCAAACTCGTCCCCTTTAGTCAGGGCAAGCTCAATATCCTCCTTCACAGCCTGGATCTCACTCTTCTTCTTGAGGAGAATCTGGTAAATGTTGTCGAACTTGCTGCTGACCCTCTTTTCTTCTTCCTTTACCTTTCGTGTGGAGCTGGCCTCGGAAGCATCAATGAGAGCCTTCATTTCCAAATATTCTTGTCTAAGCTGTTCCATCTTCCTTTGTGCAGCATCCTAAGGAGGCCAAAACAGGAGGGTATCCATCATACTGGCAAAAGGCTAAGCCTGCGGTACCAAGCATTGGTGAGATACACAGCACCAGCAAGGCTTACCTGTACTTTGTGGGAGAAAAAAGGGGCACCGCTGCTTTGGAGAGCAACTTGGCAATATCTAGTGAATTTGAAGGTACTCGTGCCCTATGACCCAACAACTCGATCCAAGGAATATACTCTAGAAAAATTTTCGGTAACCTATCCCAAAGACACATACAAGAACGTTCACAAGCAACACTGTTTGAATTAGCAAAACCCTGGAAACAGGAGTCTAAATACATAGACTGCATATTATTCCTAGGATGGAATATTAAACAGTAATGAAAATTAATGAACTAGGGCAATGCATGGACAAATTTCCATAAGGGAAAAACAACTTGTAGAAAAAGACACACAGTACTGATGCTCTTTATATAAAGCTTAGAAATGAACAGAACGATAGTATTTATTGCTAAAGGGATGCAGACATTCATAAGAGAAGTATAAAGAAATCCAGGGAAACGAATGAATAAATTTAGGATAGTAGTTACTTCTGGAAGAGAGGGAGATATAAAAAGGGGGAAGCAGAGCACGGGCTTCATCTGCATTGGCGATATTTTCTTTCTTAAGCTGAGAAGCAGTTTATGAGTAATTTTTTTTTAAAAGAACGGGTATGACACTGCTTTAGAAAATTTCTAGAGAATATCATCCTCTAGAACTGCACTGTCCAATACCATAGCCACTTACTGCATGTGGCTACAGAGCACTTGAAATGTGGCTCGTCAGATTTAGATGTCCTGAAAATGTAAAATACACATTGGCTTTCAAAGACTTACTATAATAGACTGTAAAATGTCTCATTAGTATTTTTTTGTCAATTATATGTTGAAACGATAATTTTTGGATGTACTGACTTAAATAAAATGTATTAATAAAATTAATCTCACATGTCAAATTAACTTAAAGTTACTGTAAGGTTCATGTTATATATCTATTGGACAGCATTTCTCTAGCTCAGAATCAAACATGACAAACAGAAACACACACAAGAGGGGCAATTTACAGGGAAGTTGAAATTCAGTTATTTCTTTACCTAACCCTTTACTCTGCCACCCGTATGTGACTATGATGTCCCCCAGTGTTCATCCTCCTCCTCTTCCCCCATTCAGTAAGAGAACACCTCTCAAGTCTCAGATGGGCACATGGCTGCGCAGCCACAGACTACATTTCCCAGTCTCCTCTACAGTTGGTTTGGTCATGTGACTAAGCTTCTCCTAACAGCTTCTTGCATGCTAGAACAAAGATGTAATGGTGACTCAGCTTCAACCAAAGAGATGAGGAAAACACTCTATACAATAGTGGGGCAATAAGAAGGAAAGATCACGAATTCTTGAATGATCACATGAATTAGTGCCTTTCTACTAGTCTGGGTTGCTCATGTAGGGCCTTGAACTGTCACAGTAAGTAAAATAAACTTCTCTCTTATTTAAGCCTCTGAATTTTGGGGGTATCTTTATTATAGAAGTTTATCCTGCCTCCCGACCAATACAGGTACTGTCATGTGCATCTTTTCATTTAAGCCTCACAACCACCTTCAGAAAGTTGTGATTCTATTGTACAGATGGCAAAACTAAGGCTCAGAGAGCTGCTGACATGACCGAAGAATCACAGGCTAGTATGTAACAGGGTATTCTAACCCAGATCTCATCTCATTAAGCCACAGCTGCCACAATAAAACTGGATGCTGCAGCTCCAGAACAGGGTATTTAAAAATCAAATCTTCTTTCAACATAAAAGCAATGAACCTTATAAAAACTGTAAAAACTAGGGGGGAAAAAAAAACACCCCTAATTCCACCACTCCAACACTTCCACTACTATCCTTTTACTATACTTCCCTCCAGTCTTTTTTCATATACTTCCTATAATGGGTTGAAAAGTGTCGCCCACAAAGATATGTCCACGTTCCAGAACCCGTAAATGTGACCTTACTTAGTCTTTACAGATTTAATTAAGGTAAGATTCTTGAGATGAGATCATCCTAGGTTGACCAAGTGGATCCTAAATCTAGTGATAAATGTCCTTGTTTGAGACAGAAGAGAAGACAGAGAGGGAGGAGGAGGCCATGTGAAGACAGAGGGAAAGATTGGACTGATGCAGCCACAACCAGAAGTTGGCAGAGGCAAGGAAGGATTCTTCCCTAGAGCCTTTGGAGGGAGTGGGGCCCTGACACACTGATTTGTGACTTCTGGCCTCCAGAACTGTGAGAGAACACATTTCTGTTGTTTCAAGCCAAGTCTGTAGTAATTTGTTAGAGTAACCCTCGAAAACAAATAACACTTCATTTTTATAAACAGACGCAACTCTAGTGGGTATATACTTTTGCTTCTTTTTTTCCTCCCACTTAAGTCATACCCACTGTCTATTATACTACTTTTCAACCCTAATTTTTAATGATTCCCTCAAGGTCAGGGTTGTAGGTAGTCTTTGGTTTGGGCCTATAAAGGATCTCTCTGGGGGCATATAGCTTCTTGCATATCTTACAAGGCTGACATTTATTTCCAATGCTGTGAATGAACCTAACGTGAGCTTTGTGGAGGTCAGAACTGAGCCTGTGCTGCCTGGAGGCTGAGGGAGACCCCAGGACCAGGGCTGGTGATGGACAGCCCTGTCACTCACCCGCACATCCTGCTGCCTGGCTCTCACATCCTCCAGCGCTCTCGATGCACCATTGATCTGACTGTACATGATGGTCAGTTTATGCTTTAGCTTGGCCTGTGGAGAAGACAAACCAGGGTAAGAGAACGCCTCAGCAGCCCCCACTGGCACCCAACCCCGGGGACCGCCCCCCGAATCTACCCCACGAGTGTTTCTGCCACTCCAAGTCCTGCCTGCTTGTAGCTTTTTAAACCATCCTCATATTTTCTGATTCCCTCCATCCTTTTACGGGGATAATACTGTAAAGAAGTTATGAGTACAGGATTTGGAGCTGGAGAGACCAGGGTTCTAGTCCCAATTCCCAGCTGTCCAACTATCTCTCATCCTAGTCTCCTTGGCCATCAAATAAATACAATGTTCCCACCTCATAGGGCTAATAGGAGGATTAACTGAAACAATGTCAGTCCCCAGCACAGTGCCTGGATCTTAGTAAGGAAAACCTAAATGTCCATTTGTATTATTGTAAGCTTTTTCGCTGAGACCTATTTTACAGGCGATGACACTGAGGCAAGGAGGACAGCAAGGTGGCCAGCAAGGTGGCCAAGCTCACACAGAGACGGAACAAGCTGGGTAAGCTGCTTCAGTAACGGCGGATGAAGTCCCTCAAACCAACCTTCCCACTGCAAACAACCAGAAAAGCAGACAAAAAATGGGGGGCGGAGGGAAGAATATGCTAAAGGATGATGGAGAACTAACAAAGCAGGGAAAGATTACAGAGCCAAGATCCAGGAGAGAGAAACCCAGAGAGATAAGCCTGACGTCTGGGGTTGTTCTCCCAGAGCCATCTGCCATCTCCGGAAGATGGCTAGGGGAGCCCCTGCCAACCTCTAGGAGGATGGGGACAAAAACTAGAGTCCAAGGTTCACTTGGTAAGCCCTACAGGTGGGGACCTCCAAAGGTCACACTCTAGGAATCAAGGATGAACCAGTAGTAAACCAGCCCACCACCACCTTAATACCTGAAACCGAATTAAGGTGTTTCAGAATTGCTAGGCCCCTAGCTACCTCCGGAAAAAAAAGGTAAACTAAGCATGAAAAAATTTATAGTATTTCTATAAATTTTCACAATCAATATCTGAGTCCCCTACCTCCCGGCTCAGGTGAAATGCTGAGGCACAGAAACGGGAAGGAAAATAACCACCATCCCCATAATAACTGTAGCTAGTGTCTATTATGCACTTACTACAAGCCAGGGATTAGTCTAGTGCTTAATGTGTATTAATTTATTTAAAGCTAAAAACAAAACTATGAGGTAGGAGTTGCCCGCCCTCTATAGATGAGGACACTAAAGCACAGCGTAATTAAACGGTTTGACCTAGGTCATGTCACTATTAACTAGGGTTATAAGATGCTGGTATTAAAATTACAGACATGTGTCCAAACAGAGCACACTAGAACCTTCTAGAAGAAAAAAAAAAAAATTGACTTCCCCTAACTAGTTGGCTCAACATGTTCTGCCTCTCCCTTTCACTTTCCTGCCTCTCCCACGCCATGGAGATATTCAGGGCTGAACATGACCTTGAATCTGGATTTAAATGACCCAGTGACAGTCACATGTAAGGGCAGAAGCAGAGTTCAAGGCCATACTAACTCAATCCTGAAAGCCCAAGTCACTGACCATGTTTCAGATTCAACCTCTGTGACAATGCCCTTTGACCTGGCCTCTAACAGTGGCCAAGATAAACTGGGCCAAAGGCTGAAGGCCAGGCCCAGGCAGGTCTGGCCTAGCATGTCTGAGCTGGAAGAAACCTCCAAACACCAGAGGGCAGCCAACTATTTCACCTTCGAGAGCCACTCTTAATAGTGAACTCCTGAATTCTGTATTTTGAAGATTTTATCCACCATTAATCAAACATGTATGATCGTCCCCGGTGGTGGAAAGGGGCCCACGCCACTCTAGACAAAAAGAAAGCATCCCACAGCCTTCAATAGCCACAATAATCCTCTAATCAGGGTAGAGAACTTTTTGAAGTTCCGAGGTTCCCTTCACAGACTTGGGTCCTCCACATGAGAGGCACCAGAGTCCTGAATCTGCCTGGAACTAGTGACAGAGACAAGCCAGCTGCCCAAGGCTGGGCACTGCCCAGCTGGAGCTGGCTCTGCCACCAGCAGTGAGCAGCAACAGGGCTGAAAAAGGACCCTGGTGAAAGGACTCAGCCATGAAAATGGAGAAAGAGGGGAGATGGCTACGGAAGGCCTGTCACAAGAATTAAAAAGCCAAATGTGTTCAGCACACAAATAAACTAGGCACAGGCTCCAGCTCCAGGCCCTGGAGGCTAGGGAGAGGGCTGTGGCTCTGTGACATGCTGAGAAGGGGCCTCCTGCCCCTACTTGCCTTCTGCCTCCATGGATAAGAACTTCTAGAAGGGCCTTTCAGCGGGAGCCACGCTGCCCCAGTCTGCAGGGGCAGGCCCAGGCACCCTGAGGCAAAGATCTAGGCAGCCTGATACTCTGCCCAATGAACTTTCCTCTTTCCTGGGTGGAGTAACAGAAATGAGCATTCACCGTAAAACACGGTTTATATGTTGCCTCATTTAATCCTGGTAACCTTCTGAGACAGGTACTATTATTATCTTCTTTTAGGATTTCCCAGCTGGGAAGCAGAGCCAGATTTCAAACCCAGGTCTCAACACCCAGCTTTGGCAGGAGCCTGTGTCAACCAGATACTCTACCTGATACCGGGGCTTGCCTGCAAAGCACTTCCCACACAGCTCCTCTCTCTGGAGCCTCCCAACCACCCTTGCAGGTGGAGATGGATTGCTACGATCCCACTTTACAGATGAGGAAGCTGAGGCTCAGAACTGTGGTTTAGTGACTGGCCCTAAACCACAGCTGATATGGGGCGGAGCAGGGCTCCTGGCTCCAAAGGCTAAGCAGGTTCTTTCCTATGACAGTCAGAGACCTAGGTAGCTGGACCTCACATGGTCGTACCTCAGAGGTCAACTCTCAGGCCGTGCCTGGAGGTCTGGCTTCTGAGACTGGGGGAGGAAGTTCAGAGGAACCCAACTGAGACTGGGAGAAGCAGAGCAAGCCAGAGAGGGGCTGTGGTGGTATGGAAGCAAGGCCCCGCACCCCGGTCCTGGTACCACGGCAAACATCCCCCAGGCCTCAGGGCTGCTTTGACAACATGAGGACAGTCCTTGTCTCCCTGACAGTGCTGCGAGAATAAAAGGAAATCAGGGCACACTTAGGAGCTTAGGCTGATAAAACACAAGGTGATCTGATTACACCTTTTTCACCTCTGCCTTAAGTCCACGGGGGGGCGTTATGATGACCCAAAACCAATACAATCATCACAGACCTCGAAGGCCCCTTAGGAATCCACCTGGTCCAACTTCCTCACTTTACTGATGAGGACTCAGGCCCAGGAGCCAAATCTTGTCCTCAAAGTCACACAGCCAGGATGGAAGGCTCTATGGTGCAAGAGCACTGGCTCTCTCTGTGGGTCATATCCAAGAATTCCTGGGACTCGGCCCACCCTCCCACTCGCAGGGATCCTCCAGAGTCATTAGAACTCTCTGGCTCACCAATGGCTCTTGCTCACATGACCTCAACTTTCCAGGAAGGTCCCGTGCTGTGGACTCTGTAGACCTAGATATGAGGCTGGTTCCTGGGGAGAAACTGCAAACTGCGGAATCAAGCCCACATGTCCCAATGCCTGCTTGGCCACTTACTGGGTTCCTCGGGCTAAATTAACTTCTCTGGAACTCCATTTCCTCAAATGAAAAGTGAAACTAATTATACCCACCTTCTGGGTGCTGCCAGGATTTAATGAGGGAATAGAGGTAACTTCAAAGGCTCATATTTGGCTTTCAAAACGCTCTATTAACACCATCAGACAAGTACTAGGCTTAAGGCAAGCAACATCACGTGTTTCTTCTGCCCAGGATCTCAAGCCCAGCAAGGCCCTTTTTCCCCATCCGGATGATCCTGGGTAGGCCTCTGCACAACCCAGCAGGCCCAGACTGCCCCTCTGCACTCTCCCCCGCCGCCCCCTACCTCCATGTCAGCGCTGGCCTGGCTCAGAGACACAGGCGAGCAAGTCTTGTGTTCCACCAAGCAGATATGGCAGATGCACTCGCTGTGCTCGGGGCAGAATAAGTCCCGTAACCGGTTGTGCTGGGGGCACTTGCGGTGCAACAGGTCGGGAACCGGCGGCTGCAGCGGATGGTCCCGGAAAGCGGGGCTGTCGAGGTGCGGCCGCAGGTGCTCCTGGCAGAAGGAGGCCATGCACACGAGGCATGTCTTGATGGCGGCCGCCTTCAGGCAGTGGTCACAGGCAACCTGGCTGGTGGGGCTGGGGGCCGCGGCGCGGACGGGCGGCGTCCAGTCGTCGGGGACCGCCACGCGGGCCAGCTCGGCCTGCAAGAACTGCTCCACCACCGCGCACAGCACCGTGTTCTTGTGGAGCTGCGGCCGCGTCTGGTACTCGGCGCGGCACTGCGGACAAAGGTACGGCGCGCCCTGGACGGCCCACGTCTCGTCCAGGCACGACGCGCAGAAGTTGTGGCCACACGGGGTGGTGACCGGCACCTTGAAGGGCTCCAGGCAGATGGAGCACATCAGCTCGTCGGCCAGGGACAGCTCCGCCATGGCGCGCTGAGGGGAGGACCGGACGGGACGCACGGCAACCTCGCAGCGACTGCAGCAGGAGCCTCCGAGGCTGCCAGGGAAATGAAACTGAGCGGCGGGAGGGCGGTCCCTGCGGCCTTTCAGGAAGTCACGTGGCGCGCGGGGCGGGGCCTGCGCGGGTTCCTCCCGGGCCCTGGGTGTGGCCGTCCTCCCGCGCGGCGCGGGGCTCGGGGCTTCACGTCACCCTCAGGACCACTGCGGGGTTCTCACGGCCACTCTGACGATGAGGAACCCGACGCGTCGGGCGGACAACCCCAGATCGCAGGAAGGAGTCAGAGACGCGTCTTGCGTGAGTTCCTGCCTTCGGAGAACTCACCCAGACCGGAGATGACCCCACCATCCCGCGAGCAAAGCTGTCTTATCAGGACAGGACTTAAAAAAAAATAAATAAATACCTGTAGGAACATTTAAATGACTGTCCATTTTTCCCCAACCCCCTTTAAAAAAAAAAAAAAATCCTTCTTTCCTCTTCCCTGGTCCTGCGCTTTGGCATTTCGGTATCGCATCTTCGAAGGCTGGAGCCGGTAGTCACACACACAAGCTTAAACTTTGTGGTTACTTTCAGAATACCGACATAACATGCTTTTTTTTTTTTTTTAAATTTCCAGTTCTACTTTACTAGAGTGTGGAGACGTCCCAGTTTAACAAAAGTTTTTCTCTTACCCAGACACAAAAATAATGTTGGAACTCAAATATTTTTCTCAAAATTGTTTATTTAGATTTATTTCCTTCCATTCTTTTAACTGTTTTCCCCTTCTGGCCAGAGTGCAGGAAAAGTGGGAGGCGAGAAGTGTTTGAGAGAGGAGATGGTTGGAGGGCAAAGGGAAAACCTGTTTAGGCAGGAGTGAACTGGAGTTTGCCTTGGGGACAGGGTGAGCAGCAAACATGAGAAAAGAGTAAATGTCTTAGATGAGTGCTAAAAGTAATAGCTACCACTTACGGGGCACTTACTGAGTGCTAGACAAGTCACATGCTATCTCTTATAATCCTTATAATCTCTTCTAGTCTTTATAAACTGTACAAAACAGAACTCATTATATCCATTTTACAGATGAGGGTCATGCATTTTATACAAATTAGGAAAGGGATTCTAGCTCAGGATTGCTTACTCCACACTCTAATTCCTGGTGTCCCTATTTCTATTCCTCCAGGCCACTTGACCCCATTTGTTCTCTTTCATATTGTATTGTTATTTGCATAGGAAGGAGGAAAACAGAAGATAAGGTGGGTAGGCAATTAAGATTTATGCATAGTATCTCATTTAATCCTCATAATAAATCTTCGAAGTAGGTATAATTATCTCATGTTACAGATGAGAAAACTGAGGTTTAGAGAAACTAAATAACTTGCCCAAGACAATGGATATTGGCATCCAGGCTATCAGATTTCAGAAGACAAGCATTTCTACTATAAAATGCTGTCTCTCTGGAAGAGAAATGGAGCAGTTTTCAGTAAATAAAACACTACAAAATCCCCTATGACCTAGTTCTTATGAGTGAGGTGGCCTGGTGACTCATGCCACAATGTTTGTGGAATTCTCTTTCCAGGAGAAGTTTAGAAGGGCTGGTTAGATGGTAAAAATGACTAGGAGAGGCAAACTTTATGTTTTTCAAATTCCATGCAGGAGATATTTCCTAAGACCTACTATGCTCAATTTATTCCATTGTGGTTAAACCATCTGCTTTGTATTATTTCAATCTTTTAAAATTTATGGAGGCTTGTTTTATTACCTGAATGTGGTCTGTCTTGTTATTGGTTACTGTTTGCATGGCACCTCTTTTTTCCATCTTTTTACTCTCAACCTCTTTGTGTTTTGGGTCTACAGTATGGCGCTTATAGACCATATAGTCGGACCATGTTTTTTATGCATTCTACCAATCTCTGCCTTTTAATTGGAACATTTAATCCATTTATATTAAATTACTGATAAAGTAGGATTTACATCTGCCATTTGCTTATATTTTTATGCCTGACATCTTTTGTTCTTCTCTCTCTCCTTTACTGCCTTCTTACTATTTTTATTCCTTTGCTCTTTCTTCAGATATTTTTCTGCCCTTCCTCTCTCTTCTCTCCTTTAGGAACTCCCATTACATGTATGTTGGTAGGCTTGTTGGTGTCTCACAGGTCTCTGAGGCTCTGTTCATTTTTCTTTATTCTTTTCCCTTTGTGTCTCATAGACTGCATCATCTCATTTGATCCATAGCCAGATTCACCAGTTTCCTTCTGCCTGCTCAAATCTACTGTTGAGTCCCTCTAGTGAATTTTTTATTTCAGTTATTGTACATGTCAACTCTTAAATTTTCATTTAGTTTTTTCAAAAATAATAATTTCTATCTCCTGACTGATATTCACTATATAAAGAATATAACCATTCTCATACTTTCCTTTATTTCTTTAGACATGGTTTCCTAAGTTTCTTTAAACATATTTAAAATAGCTGATTTAAAGTATTTGTCTATAAATCCAACATCTGTACTTCCTCAGGGATAATTTCTGTTGGTTTTTCTTCTCATATGGGCCATTCTTTCTTGTTTCTTTGTATATATCATAATTTTGTTCAAAACTGGATATTTAAAATAATATATCGTGGAACTGTGGATACCAGATTCCCCCATCCCCATGGTTTGTTATTGTGGCTGTTCATTGTTATTTGTTTAGTGACTTTTCTGACTTGATTCCATGAAGTCCATATTCTTTGTCATATGTTGCTACTAAAGTCTCTGCTCCATTAGCCTAGTCATCAGCTAATGACTACATAAAGATTTCCTTAAATACCTAGAACCAGTAAGTTTCCCAGTGTTTTCTAAGGTTTTGGAGTTGTTTGCAGACTATTGGTTTTCAAGACTACCGTGGAGCTGGGGGTGGAGTAATGGGAATAGGACAAATTAAAACTCCCCAGAGTTTGCTATTCCTACCAAGAGTCAGCCACTTTTCTTAAATAAGCATTCTCTGAATTGTTACAAGGTCTTCGCTGCTTTCCACAGGTCTAAAAAAGTTGATCCTGACGATTTTTGTTAGTTTTCTTTTATGGAGGCAAAATTTTCAGAAGTCCTTATTCTACCATTTTTGCTGATGTCACAATATCACTCTTTTTTTTTTTTCCAGGATAACATTTTATCATATCATGTTATTAAATCTGTAAGAATAACAACCAGAAAAGATATTATCAATAAATTTCTTGGTAAAAACTGAAAATTCATCAACCTGAGAGGACTTTTGTTCCCTTCCTGTAATCATTTTTATTTTTTAATTTTTAAATTTATTTTATAACTTATATACAATATTAATCCAGATGTACAACAGTGATTAGACATTTATATACCTTATGTAGTGATCACCATGATAAGCTAGTAACCATCTGTCACCATACATAGTTATTGCAATATTGACTATATTCCCTTCTGTACATTACATCCCTGTGACTAATTTTATAACTGACAGTTTCTATTTCCTAATCTCTTTCGCCTTTTTCGCCTATTCCCACCCCTCCTCCCATCTGGCAAGCAGCAGTTTATTCACTGTATCTATAAGTCTGTTTCTGTTTCGTTTGCTTTGTTTCTTAGATTCCCCATATAAGTGAAATCATACACTATATTACTCTTTTAATGTCAGAATCTGTGGTAATAATACCTCTATCATTCCTGATGTAAGTAATTTGTGTTTTCTTTCTTTTTTTCCTGATTGATCCCTCTAACAGATTATTAATTTTATTAATTTTTTTTGAAGAATCAACTTTTGGCTTTAATTTTTCTCTGTCATTTGTCTGCTTTTTCTTTACTGATTTCTTCTCATATATTTATATATTTCTTCCATTTGCTTTTGGTTTAATTCGCTCTTCTTTTTCAAGCTTATTAATTTGGAATATTAGATCATTATTATTAAACTTCCTTCTTTTCTAATTAGGAGCTTAAAACTATAAATTTCCCTTTAAGCACTGCTTTATATTTCACAAGTCCTGATATATGTGTTTTCATTATCATTTCACTCAAAATGTGTTGTAATTTTCTTTGTAATTTCTCCTTTGATACATTAGCTGCTTGTAAGGATACGGCTTCATTTCCAAATACCTGGGGCTTTCCTGGACATCTTATTGTTATTGACTTCTAATTTAATTCCATTTTAGTCAGCACTACTATCTAAGGTGTTACTCTCTTGAAGTTGAGACTCGTAACTCAGCACTTGGTCTGTCTTAGTGAGCCTCCCTAGTGCACTTGGAAAAAAGCATGTGTTGAAATTTTTAAATGTATAAATGTTAATTATATCAAGGTTCAGAACTTTGATACCTTTCCCTTTTTTTTTTTTTTTTTTTGTCCAGTGGTTCTACCAGTTTCTGACAGGAGATGTTAACTTCTTCAATATGATAATTTGTCTATTTCTTTCTTTGTATTTGTCCCTTTTTTCTTCATGTATTGTTGTGAAGCGTTGTTATTATGGGTGGTATTATGGGTTGAATTATCCCCATAGAATATTTGTTAAAGTCCTAAACCCCAGTATCTGTGAGTGTGATCTTATTTGGAATTCGAGTCTTTGCAGATGTAATCAGTTAAGATGAGGTTATTAGTGGTCCCTAATTCAATATGATTTAGGAAAATGTCATGCGAAGACAAGCCCACAGGAGAGCACCATGTGACAATGGAGGCAGAGATCGAAGTGCTATAGCAGCAAGCCCCAAACACCAAAGATGGCTGGCAAGCCATCCTAAGCTAGGAAGAGGCAAGAAAGGAGGCCCTCCTACAAGTTCCAGAGGGAGCATGGCATTTCTGACACCTCGATTTCAGGCTTCTACCATCTGGACCTGTAAGAGAATAAAGTTTGTTATTTTATGTCACCTAGTTTGTAGTACTTTGTTATGGCGACCCTAGGAAACTAATCCACATTAAGGATTTTATATATATTTTATTATTTAACCCCTTTGTAATTATGAAAAAAATCCCCCTTATCTCTTATAATAATTTTCCTTTTAAAATTTACTTAGTCTGACAGCAATATAGTCACACTAGCTTTCTTACGTTACTGTTTGTGTGGTATATCTTTCTATCCTGTTACTTTCGACCTCCTGCG